CAAGAATAATCCTCATCTGTTTACTAGTTCTCATTGGGCTGAGGTAGACCAGAACTGTGGTTCTTAACCTGAAATCTGTGAGATACATACACATGTGTATGTATGTATGTATACATATGTGTATACACACATGTATCTTAACTGAATTGCAATATAAGTGGTTTCCTTTGTTATCCTAAGTATTTTATTTTACGCTTTTAAAAACATCATTCTGCTAAGGAGTCCATAGGCTTCACCAGCCTGCAAAAGGATTCTACGGCACAGAAGAAGTTAAGGACCCCTGTTTCTAGGGCTACGTCCTTGGCTAGATTAGCCAGTATATAACCATGTCATGATCTCTTATAACACCCACTGCAAGCTGCTCTGGCTTATACCCCTGGACCTTCCTATAGGACTTAAGAAAGCTCAGGAAGCCTCCAATCATCTAACTGTATCTTGCTAGAGGCTATCTCAGTGGCAGGGAGCCTAATGAGTTTTTTCTGCCTTCCTTTTCCCGAGGGCTTAAAATAAAATCCGATGGACCTAGACCAAACCAGGATGCTCTGAGACACTTCCAGAATTTATCGGAATTCTCAAGGGGTCTTGGGGTCTCCCAAAGAAGGAGACAGCCCATATTGGGGGGGAATAAGGAATGTTTTCCTTTTTAATCCCATTCTAGACACAAGCAAGTCAGCCTCATAGATCCTTATTGCTTGAGAGTACCAGGGGATGCAGACCCTCAGGTACTCTATTTTAGTTCTGTACAAAGGTGGGTGGTGGTTTCTGGTTCCTCAGAAAGCTTTGCATTTGGCCTTCACACAGAGATAGCGTCCTGGCTGTATAATTATCTATTATACAAGAAGATGCTATTCCTGATTCACTCCCAGCAAGGCAAGCTATTCGAGCTGTTTTCATCCAGCTGTCTCTCCCAGTCTCTCCGTGTACAAAGGCACAGATTGGGGAGCCTGCCAGCTGAAAGCAAAGGTTAATTGGCCAAACCCAGGGCCTTGGCCTCCCTGGTATGGTGGTTGCTAATCAGTAGGAATAACAACTCAACACTTAGGGAACTGAAGCCTTCATGTCCCTAACTTCACTACAGGGCTTTTGACCTTCCCTGTGAGCACTGGACCCAGAGGGGCTCACAGGCATAGGATTTTCATATTTCATTAGGGGAACAGCTCAGTAAAGGAGTTTCTGAAAAGCTACATGTAAATTAAAATCTCACAGGATTTAAACCTGGAAGGGACCTTCAAGATTGGCTAGTCTAACCAAGGACGTAGCCCTAGAAAGAAAAATTAATTTCCCAGGGTCACACAGGCAGCAGGTAGGAGATCCAGAATTTGAACTTGGGTTCTCTGACTTCAAATCCAGTGGGGATTTTTCCCCCAGCAAATGTAATCAAAGGATCATAAACAGAGGGACCTGAAGACACCTTGAGAGACAAATTGTCACATAAAGGGATATTTATGTTGTTGGAAAGACTAGGTTTGACTCTGGAAAAGTCACGTAACCTCACTGAGCCTCTGCTTCCTGATCTGTAAAATGGGGATAACAATAGCACCTATATCACAAGGGTTATTTTGAGGACCAAATGAAATAATGTATTTAAAATGATCTATAGACTATATAAATGTAAGCTGTCGCTATTAAGATTCCTGGATGTCATCAGGTCATAGAATCTTGCATTCACAACCCTAGATAGCTGGAAAGGACCAATTTCCCCTTCCCCATTTTACAGATGAGGGAACTAAGGTCCAGACAGTTAAGTGATTTGCTCAAAGTCACACAGGGAGTTAGTGACAGAGACAAATTTAAACCTATTTCCTTTAACTCCAAATCTAGCATTCTTTCAACGAACCTCCAAAGTATACAGACAAAGTTTATATTTTAAATGAAGCCAGAAAGCTTGATATCTAAAGCTGTCTTGTAGTAAATATCTAGGAAAAGTAAATTTTAGTGTTTTTTTTCCAAAATCAGAATTTTCATATATTGGGGTCTGCTTAAAAAAAAAACAAAACCTGGAGCCTTTCTAAAGGATCTTCTAGTCCATGAGGCACCACAAAGAGGAGGAAGTGTCACAGCCACAATGTGGTTTCCTGCTTTTTCTAATCCACAACAATTCTGGAAGCTCCTCTGATGCTCCTCCTCCCAATAAATACCTGAGATTTTCGTGGCGATGCGAGTAGTGATGGGAGGCCCGAAGCCCTTCGACGTGCTCGCCTTGATAGTGAATGAATAGGTCGTGCCTGGATACAGGCCCACAAACAGGTGGTGTGTTTCATTCCGAAGTTTGAAGACTTTCCCCCTCTGGCTGGAAAGGTCAGCATTGGGATCAAGGGAGCCCACAGCCTTGTAGTTTATCTGCAAAAGAACAACCAAGGAGATTACATTCAGCCACAGGCTTCTGGAAAAGCAGAGGAAAGACACACAAGAAGCTGTGATGCATCCTGGCTGTATGACCCTGGGTAAGTCATTTGATCTCATTATGCCCTGGGCAATGCTTGAGACCTTAAGTTTCAGAGAAGGTGCTGACCTGCAGTGGTAGGGGGAGCATCCATACCTGGGACTTATGTATAACAACAAAATGGTAGGTTCACTCTCTTCTCAGGCCTTCTCCCTCCATCATTATTTCCAAGTAATTCTGTGTATAACCTGTTTGTACATAGTTTGCATGTTGTCTCCTCCATCAGTCTCGAGAGCAGGGTGCTGTCTTATGCCTTTCTTTGTCTCCCAAGCACTTAGCACACAGCAGGTGCTTAATAAATATTATTGACTATCTCTCTATCACTCACTAGTGGCCAACCATTAGTTACTGGAGAGGCAGATTGGTGGTGGTAACAGGGTTGGGGGCCTGGGTTTGAATCCTGGCATTTATACTATGTGACCATTAAAAGTCACTTAGTTTCTATGAGACTCAGTTTCCTTAACTGTAAAAGGGAGATATTAAAACTTGCATAACATACCCTATAATATTTTTGCATGGAAAGAGCTTTAAAAACTTTACTGTTGTTGTTCCATCATTTCACTAGTGTCCAACTGTTCAAATCTGTGACTGTTCAGTTACTTTAAATCCTTAGGAGTTAGGGTAAAAAGAGGGTTGTTGTTATTTAGTTTTTTCAGTCATGTCTGACACCTTGTGACCCCATGTGGGTTTTTTTCTTGGCAAAGGTACTGGAGTGGTTTGTTATTTCCTTCTCCAGCTCATTTTACAGATGAGTAAACTGAGGCAAATAGGCTTAAGTGACTTGCCCGGGGTCACACAGGTAGTAAGTGTCTGAGGCTAGATATGAATTCCAGAAGATGAGTTTTCCTGACTCCTGGTCCGGTTCTCTATCCACTGTGCCCCCTAACTGCCCCACTGAAAACCTTATAGACCATAGAAATAATGAGCGTTATTATTATTCACATGCTTAAACACTCTCCTGCTGACATTTCATTTATTGTGTTTCTCATGGTTTTCCTGCACCAGAAGCATGGTGATGTCACAGAAAGAGCACTGGATTTGGAGACAGAAATCTTGGGTTGAAATCCTGGCTCTGCTACTAATTTTCAGTGTTACTTTTGTCAGTGACAAATCCAATGCTTTTGGGACTCAGTTTATTCATCTGTAAAATTGACAAGGGTTCCAACTCTAAGGTCCCCTTCCATTTCAAGTTCTTATAAAGTCTTGCCACTTTCACTTGAGTCCTGGGAAAGGCTTTTGGGGTAAGTTGAAATAGAGAGCATTGAAAAAAAATTTTTAAAGCCAGGTTAGCCTGTCTTCTCCCCTTCTCCCCTGTACCCCCAGAAAGAAGTGACATGTGGCAAATCCTATAGAGGCATCTCCTTCTGGTGTTTATGTTTGTAGCATTATTCATCACAAAACAATAGGAAAAGGGTCTTCAGAATAAGAGTAACTCTCACTCATTCACATCTTAAGGATTGAAAATCTGAGCCTGACCCCAGCTCCCACTTTTAGGCACAGGTATTATTTTCCTAAAGCTAATAGTTTAAAACCTCTGTTGAAAGAATAATGTATATGAATAGGTAGGTATGATGGGCTTGGAGTCAGAACAGCTGGGTTAGAGACCTTGGACAGGTCAACTCATCTCTCTTAGGAACAATTTCCTTGTCTTTCAAGAAACAGTGAGAATGTTTGTCCTCTCAGGGCCATTCTAAGTCTGTAATTAGGATTAAATGAGGTAATGTGTGGAAAAGTGCTTTGCAACCATAAAACATAGTATAAATATGAATTCTTTGTCTTCTAATAGCTACCTGGCAGTGTGTGTGTCTCACTTGAGAGGCTGAAGTCACTTTTCATTATGAAACTTAAAAATAAGAATGCATTAGTCAGCATAGAATGTGAAACTTGACTTCAAAAATCACCTTTCAGTTTGGAAAACAAGTCATATGTTGTTTATAACAAAGAAGCTGAAGGTTGGTTTGTCTGTTTGGACCACTAATGCACTTTTCTTCTTACTCAGATCCTAACAGACTTGGGTGAATCTGGGAATTCATGGTCACGGGTAATCCCGCCAGTACTGCAGATCTCAATCCATCCATGCCCTCTAAATCTGTGCGAACTTGTGTTCATTCCTTCCTTTAAATTCCTCACAGGGGTCCACTCAACATTCTAGGGACCTTCTTTTAGGTCCAAATGAGTACATAGGCTGTTGTTATCTGTCCATCTTGCTACAGGAGAGGTCCACCTTCTTTTCTGGGCATACATCTCTCTGATGACATTTTGATACTACTTCTCCCATATTCTTCTTCATCGGTAAAGTGTAATGGGCCATTCACACCCACCGTGTCCTTCTACATTACCCTTTGGTTGACACTCAAGTTAATTCTTTGGAGATGGTGGTGATTCATAACTTGAAACACCATGTTTATAAAATTCATAACTCAAAGCATCATGGGAAAAATATTGTTGTTGAAAAGCTGGGCCTTTGTTTTGAGAAGACGCATGCGGTCCTTAAAGTCTCGTCACCTATTGGTTAACTATTCACTAATGAATTCCTTGGCTATGGCAATCTAAGAAAAACCTTTCCTCCAGTTTATCAAATTGTGACAGAGCTGTGATTACAAATGCAAATGTGACCTTTAGATTCCTAGACCAGAGACAATATCATTATACCACCAGACAAGACACATATACAGGAAGTATCATAGAATGATTTTTGTATCTTAATAATAGGAATGGTCTATAGGATGATATGTTTTTAGGGCTGGGGCTAGGGATGAACCTTAAGACTCATGTAGTTTACTGTCCTCAAATTACAGATGGGAAAACTGAGTCCTCAAGAAGTTAAGAGCTCAGGGTCATATTACTAGTTAGTAGCAGATTTGATATTACAAATCAGGACTCCTGCCATCAAATACAGGGTTCAGGTCTTCTGACATCAAATCTAGGGTTGATTACATTATACCATACTGATATTTCCATCTCTATTTAGAGGAAATGCCCAAAATTTAGGAACAGAGTTAGAGATGGAAAGAAATTGGCTTTCTCAAAACAAGCTCCCTCCAATTCTGTCTAGCAACAGAAAGCAGAGGTCCCAACTAGAGACTATGTGTTCCTAATCACACAAGGCTATCCTCACAGCCTGCTAGATCATTGCCCTGAACATCACAACTTTACCACTTACCAAGGGCCACCTGGCCTTTGTACTATACACAATTAGATGCAAAAAAATGGATTTCTTCATTCTCTTTGTTTATTCTGACTGTCTCCATAGTCTGTGAAAAAGAGTCCCTGACTTCTACCACAGAGTGTAGAATAGAACCATGACTGAATATGGTGTCATACTGGACCTAGACTTGAGAAGACCTGGGTTTAAATATTGACTACCAGCTGTGTGACCCTGGGCAAGTCACTTAACCTCTTAGATCCTTACTTTCTTCATCCACAAAATAGAGAAAGCTATCTCCATCAGAACTACCTCCTGGTAGTTCCAAGCCTCACTTGGTCATTGCTTAGATTCTGATAGCTCAGAGTGAATGGAAATAGCAATTGTTTCTGTTTTGGCCAGAAATCCTCAGGGTCTTCCCCTCCCAGATTGATCTTACTTTTTTTTTTTTGGACTAGGTAAAAGAGGTCATTCTTTGCCTTATTTTTACCTATCCTTAATCACTGAATGGGCATTGTCTTAGACAAACTAAGACCTGAGAAAGACCTTAGCTCAAAAAGGCCAAAGCTTCCCAACTGCATCTGAGGCCATCTTCAGTTGTCCTGATCTATATCTCGCCACTGGACCCAGATGGTTCTGGAGGAGAGAGTCAAGCTGGTGACCCTGCACTGCCCTCCTTCACTTAAATCCAATCCACTTGCAAGTCATGACATCTCCTTGATGTCATGGTCCTCTTTGAGAACAAAGGACAAATAACAAAATAAACCTTGTGGAACCTTGGAGAAACAATGAACATAAATTGTTTTACAATTACAAAGTGCTACATAAATGTCAGTTATTATTATTAACAGAAGAGGTTATTGTTACTGGCACAGGTAACACACACCTTTAATGGAAAGCATGACCATTTCAAGCACCCGCTTGAAATTCTGTCCGAGTTCCACTCCATGTAGTGGTGGCAAGTGCGTTGATATACAGACACTTGGAGGTAAAACTCATGACTTATTTACTAGCCAATTCCTTCCCTATGTTCCAAATTCAATCCAAAAGCGGCTCAATTTCAACTGAGCTGTCAATATAATATACCAGGCTCTCCTGCGCCCCTAACCTTTCCTGATATTACAGGATCCTCACTTATTTGTAATGAAACACCATGAATAAATCAATGTATGTTAATATAGCAAGCCTTCAATTTTTTATGAAGGGCTCCACCAAATCTAATTCCCAGCTTTGTCAGAAACAGTCTTTAAAAAATTTAAGTCCCCAGCTTTATGAAGTTAGCCGGATGAGGGTGCAGAGGAGAGAAGAGAGAAAAGAGAGAGGTCAAGGAAAGGGATGGGGGTAATGCTGTAGCCTCCCCAAGGTAATAAGATACATAAATGAATTCTTGTTTTTAAGCAGAAAGGAAGAAAACTATGTTACAGCAGCAAGCTGAGAACTCATAGCTGTTCCCGACTGGCTTCTACATAGAGATCCTATATCACTGAAAGTCTTGGTGGGCATTGTTCCATTCAGGTGACTAGGCCCTGCCAAGATTCCACAGAAAAACAATAAAGAACCCTGAGAATTGCATGAATTGAGGAGAATGATTCCAAGGAGACTTAGGCAGATGAAAAGGCCTTCTCAACCCCACCATCATCTCTAGTTTGCAAAATTCTGAAACAGACATCTGGAGACCTGATTTCAAAGCAGATAGCCATTTAGAATGGCGGACTGTGGTAACTGGATTCCTAGGCTTTATCTGGGTGCTCC